TTCTTAGTTTAAACTTGTCTCAATAGGTTTCCACTTGGCAGGCAGATACATCTAAGCATCGGTTGCTGACTAACACCTGCTCCGAATGACTGGGATCCCTGGACTTGCTGAAAGCTAATGGGCACCAGTCCAGCTGATGTGAGTGCTCCCTGACTCTTCTACAGAGTCTGTGAACCAGATGCTTCTGATGAGTGCCCCACTGCCTGAATTCCCTCCTTACCTTTGGCTGGCCTTTCAGCCTTCTTGGGCCCTGATAACAATGCCCAATGTCAGCTCAAAGTAGTTACAGGAAAGAACACATGCTCCCTGCCCAGAATAGGTTGAAATGCTAAGACAAGGGAGAACTCCCTGGCATGGGGGACAGAAATGGCTACCTATAATGTCCACTGACATACCTGTCATTGGTACTTGTGAAGGGGGAAATGTAGGACCCAGCCATAACAAGCTCAGTAGAGGTCTGAGTCTCAGTAGCTTACACTAAGGCCTGGTTCCAAGGAAGGCCACAAACTGAGACTACCCAGGTACCACCCAGGAACAGACCTTCCAAAGGAAATTCCTAATATTCCAACTATTGTAGATAGGATCACCTGCCAGCACACACCCACCACTTTTTTTTTTTTTCGAGACAGGGTTTCTCCGTAGCTTTTGGTTCCTGTCCTGGAACTAGCTCTTGTAGACCAGGCTGGCCTCGAACTCCCAGAGATCCACCTGCCTCTGCCTCCTGAGTGCTGGGATTAAAGGCGTGCGCCACCACCGCCCGGCCACCCACCACTTTTTCACCAGGATACCCCTAGCCAAATGTCAGCCAATCAGGGATCCTGAACCTTAGAAATCCCTCATCCCGAGCCAGCGGTGGTGGTGCATGCCTTTAATCCAGCACTCGGGAGGCAGAGGCAGGCGGATCTCTGTGAGTTCGAGGCCAGCCTGCTCTACAAGAGCTAGTTCCAGGACAGGCACCAAAAACTACAGAGAAACCCTGTCTTGGGCTGGAGAGATGGCTCAGATTTGGCCTCCAATTTATGATGCCTTCTGCCTCAGCATTCTCAAATGCTGGGATTACAGGTGTGTACCACCATACTTGGCTAGAATATGACTTAATTTTTAATATTTTTGGTCTCTACAGATTGACCCCATAGCCTCACACATGCTAGATACTGTATTCTACCACTGAGTTACACCACGTCTTGCCAGCACGGATACTAGTCTACCAGCCAGTTAGTAAAGCAGCACATTGCTTATTCGCCAAGCTCCCAGGCACTCAACTTAAGAATTTGAAATTACTCTAAGAATCTGCCCCCACCAAAGAGGATGAGGGACAGGTTCAAAAATAAGGTGACTTTATATATGGTAAACTGGGCAGTTATCTGCTAAAGGGCCCTGACCACTCCCCATGGACTACAAACCTAAGTGAAAGTCCCTGGGAAGGATGCTTCCTTACATTCTCAAAAAATAAGGTGGTAGGGGGGTGATGGTGAGATGACTCAGCTTGAGACCATGCCTGACAGCCTGAGCTTCTTTCTTTCTTTTTTGGTTTTGAGACACGGTTTCTCTGTAGCTTTTTTGAAGCCTGTCCTGGAACTAGCTCTTGTAGACCAGGCTGGCCTCGAATTCACAAGAGATCCGCCTGCCTCCACCTCCTGACAACCCGAGTATCATTCCCGGGACCCACATTATAGAAGAGAACCAACTCCTGCAAGTTATTCTCCGATCCCCACATATGTGCCCTGGCAATCACGCATGCACATATGCCTCACACAAAATAAATAAAAGGCAATAAATTTTTTTTAAAAAAAGAGCACCGTTAATACCTATTTTTCCTAAATGACAACCCTAACAAAACTACACCCAAACACACGCGCGCACACACACACACTTAGTCTATATCACATCCTAGAATATTCTAAAACTATCCTTTATAAACCAGGAATGGTGGCTCATGCTGTAATCTCAGCAAGAAAGCAAGGGGCATATAAATAAAATTTGAGGCCACCTTGGGTTACAAAGTGGGAAATAGGCTAGCCAAGGCTATACAGCAATAGCAAGACTCTGTCACAAGACAAAATACACACACGCACACACGCATACACACACAAATCCCAATTATACAGAAAAATAAAACATAAGGGCTAGTAAGATGGCTCAGCTGGTAAAGGCATTTGCCACCAGGCCCGATAACTTGAGTTCCATCCCCAGTACCGACAAGGTGAAAGGAGAGAATTTACTTCTGCAAGTTGGCAAGTTGCTCTTTGACCTTCAAACATGAGCCATGGAACATGACCATACCCACACTCAGAAAATTATCCTAACTGTATCTCATCACATCACTCTGACCTCTCAGCTTATCTCTTTCTAGCCCTAAATGCCTTATTCTTTGGTTTTCCTTTCCTTTCTCTTTGGAGATGATTACACAAAGCAGGACATAGAAACCCTGTCTTGAAAAACCAAAACCAAACCAAACAAACAAATAAAGAAAAAACTCAGGTTTTTTTATTTTTTAGGTTTTTTGAGACAGGGTTTCTCTGTGTAGCCCCGGGTATCCTGGAACTCTTTCTGTAGACCAGGCTGGCTTTGACATCTGTCTGCTTCTCCTCCAGAGTGCTGGGAGTAGAGATGTGTGCCATGTCCATCATCTTTTTAAACATCTTCACTGGCTTGAGATGAAGCTCAGTGGCAGAGTCCTGCCATGTGAATGGCTGTGCATTGAACTCCTACCACCAGAAGGGAAATAAAACACAACTCCTCCCTTGCCCTCACTTCCTTCTGCACTTATCCCCAACCTCTCTTCTACCCACAGCAAAGCTCTCAAGTTGCCTTCATGTATTGTTTCTCTTTCCTTACTTTTCTGTTTACTTTTTAACCCATTCTACTGAGGCCAACATCTTTACTTGGTTCATACTAGTCAAGCGAAAGTCACCAATGACATTTACTAGTTATCTCCGAGGTAACAAATTCAATAAGTCTCTGACTCAACTGTACCAGAACACACAGCATCTGGAAACAGGAGCCTCCCTTCCTGCCTCAAACTTCTGGCCTTGGATTCTACAATTCAACACTCTCGACTTGACTTTCTGCCTGCTTCCTTCTCTATTACCCTCTCTCTGTAAGGTTTCCTAAGATTTAGTCTTGGAGTTTCTTTTATCTGGATAAATTGGCTCATGAAGTTTAAAAACATCTTATTTAGCTGCTGACATTTGAATATCTGGATTATACATACATACTTCCAAACCCAACTTTCTGATTCTTTTGGGGGGAACAGCAGTTATCTGTTCATAACGGGGCAGCATTCTCACAACACAGCATAAATATATGGACAGAGCAGAAGCAGCTCCCTTGATGCTAGGTGCATTTGTTATCCTCGTAGATAAAACATAGGGTTGGGAATACAGTCCTAAGTCACATTCCACAGTCTTGTGGGGAGAGGGTCTTTGTCAAGTTTACCACTGGTTGGGTAGGGTCCCTAGGCTCCTCCAGGGGAGAGGGAAGGGCTGAACGACTTCAACTGGGAACCTAACAGAAATAATGTCTTTAAAAATCCATTGCTGTGGTCTGCTATCTCTCCGGATTGAGAAGTCCTCGAGACAGCAAAAGACCCTGCCCTGGTCCTTCGTTTCGCACGGTTTTATAAGGCCCTTTTCTAGATCACCAAAGCCAATGGCAAAGACAGCTCTTCCAGCCATCGATCTCTAGCACAGGACAGTGTTGGAGAAGTGTGAAGGCGCGGGAACTCGCTGGGTCTTACACGGTAGCGGAGTACCGCGCAGGGCTAAACCCGGCTTGGGCCCAGCGGAGTAGGAGACTGGGTAGGGCCGAACCTTGCAGCCTCCTCGACCCGCTGCCTGGGCCCGCGCGCTTAGTTCAAGTAACCTTAACCCTCCCGCCCTCCACGGCTACGGGGGAGAGAAAAGAGCAGAAGAATCACTGCAACCAGGCGGAGATCCGACCGCCCAGAGGCCGCAAACCTCCGCCCAGGAAGCCCCACCCAACGGGAACCAGGACGCCTCCGCCTTAGCCGAGCCCACGCGCGACCGGGCGAGGGCGCGGAAGGGCGCGTGCGGAGTGACGACGCGACTCGCGGCGCATCCCGTGACGCCATCGCGCCCGCTTTTGAAAGTTGGCGCCCGGGGCCGCCTCCCATGCTGCCCCGCGCCAACCCCTCCCCTCACCTTTCCTCCCCCGCCCTCAACTCGCCGCCGGCCGGCCCCCCCAACCCGTCTCTTCCCTTATCAGCACCCGCGGCCCCGGCAGCGCCGACGCAGGCGCACTGCACCGCGCCGCCGCCATTTTGTGTCCGAGCCTGTGGAGCGATTAAACCGTGCGCGGAGCTGCTTCTTTGGCGGCAGCGGCGACAGCGGTAGCCAGTGCAGGCACGCGGAGCTAGCCGGGGACGCCAGGTGGCCGGAGCGGTGGAGCGGCGGCGGAGCGGGCGCCGCGGGGGGTGTGGCGCGAAGGTAAGGGGGCCCGGGGTGGAGGAGGTTTCGCGGGCCGCCTCTAGGTGTCACGATGGGGCCGCTCCGGTCGGCGCTGGCTGCAGCCCGGCGCCAGCGCCGCCGCCGGGGGGTGTTTGTCTCCCTCTACCGTCCCTGCTGCGGCGCGGCCGCCGCCATTGCCCGGCGCTGCCGCCAGGGCCTGGCCAACCCCCTCCACGCCCGCCCGCTAGCTTCCCTCCGCCCAACATGGTAGGCCTCTGGCGGCTGTGGCGACAGAGGCCTGCGCGCTCGGCGACTCCATTTTCCTTCCTTTGTCTCTACCCTCGAGGCCGGCTTTTGGCCCGGCTGATCTTCGGGCCGCGGCCCGCCCTCTGCCCTCCGCCCCTCCCGCGACGGGTGGCCTTAACCGAGGCTGGACCTCTTGAGGCTCGGTTTCCGCGCTTGCCTCGCTCGGGGGTCCTGAACCCTCTGCCGCCCGCGCGTAGCCGGGTCCCGGAACCGTGTGGGTGTCGGGTCCCTACTGCCGCGCCTCGGACTGACCATCTTCCCAGTCCACCCGCTCCCGGAACCTACCCGGCCGCCGAGTACTTCTCCAGCAGCTGGGGTGCTCTCTAGTTCCTCCGAGTCCGATCATCGCCGCCGCTGGTCTTCGTCGCCGCCGAGTGGCGCAGGCGGCGCTGCTGTGGCTGCGAGCAGAAGGACCCCTGAACTGCCGAGAGCTCCCTCTGCAAGGCTGGCTGAGCTGCTCGCGCCTCGACGCCGCCCGAGCGGGCGGGGGAACGCGCGCTCGCCGCCCCCTCCGGGTCCCGTTGCGCCCCCAAACTCACGCCAGGGCATCGCGCCGGACCCGATCGATGCGGCCCCCAATGGTGGGCGGAAAAGTCTAGAATTTCCGCACCAAATAATTTTTTCCCCAGCTAGGTTCGCACTCTTCAGTCCCTTGGAATGATAACTCATTGTGTGCTCAGAGATCTCAAAGGGACTGAAACTTATTTCACTCTGATCTCAAGTGATGTGTTAAACTCCAAAATTCGGGAGCATAGGCTGGTTACGTTTGTGCAGGCGACGCTGGAGTTTGCCTCCAGTTTAAAAATGTCCTGCCGGTAACTTCGCACTCCAGTTACGACCTGATGCTCTAGGGCTAGGCTAAGACAGTTCAACCCTCAACCCTCTGGGATTGTGCAACCCGATATGAAGCGCCAGTAGGGCAAAATGAACTTATTCTAGACTAGACTGGTAATTTGACTGTTGGATGAAATGTGAGGGTTGATGTTGTAATTGAGTCCTGGGTCACTTGCAGCAGATGGTTTATAAATGTGTGTGCCTAATGTAACTACTCTTTAGTAGCTGACTTCCTGGATTGAGTTTAGCATTAAGTAAATAGAGACAATACTTTTTTGGAGTTTAGATAACTAAGAAAGTTATAATTTCATGACCTCCATAGACAGGAAAAGAAAGTAAACAGGGTATTTACCCTGACTTTAATTCCTTTATATTAAAAAGCTTACTAAATTAAAAAGCTGTTAAATTGCTGGAGTAACCTTTATTTCCCGAGTCGCTCCCCCATATTTTGTTACTAATTAGTCGCTGATGTGTGACTTGGGTTCTTAAGTAGAAAAGAAACTCTAGGTTGACATTTATAGAAAAGAAGATATTTAAGTTTATTAGAAGCTTTAAACATCTTCCCACCCCAAACCCCGGACAGAGTAGTTTTGCTCTGTAGCTTTGGCTGGCCTCCTACTCAGAGATCCACCTGCCTCTGTCTCCCGAGTGCTGGGGTTAAAGGTGTGCTCCGACATGCTTGGCTTTCTTTAAACATCTTGATATTAAGAAAAATTATGCTGTTCACTGTATGTGATCTCAGTTTGTAGGTCCTGGCAACCCCCATTGCACACAACTCTTTTTTTTTTTCCCCCTCTGTGTAGCTTTGGAGCCTGTCCTGGATCTCACTTAGTAGACTAGGCTGGCCTCTGCCTCCCGAGTGCTGGGATTAAAGGCTTGTGCCACCATGCCTGACTGTGCACAACTCTTTGAATACTCCACAACGTTTTATGTCATCCCATCTCCCTCCCTTAAATGAACCTAGGATTCTTCAAGCTAGTTAAGCCACATTGAAATCCTATACAACTTTGTTTTTTGTGGTGCTTGTGCATGCAATGAAAGTGCTCTACCTTTGAGGTATGTTCTCAGTCATTCATCTCATCCCTTCTTTGAACTCTCCCTCCCCTACAGTAAAAGTTCACAGAGTTAGTAAATGTAGTGTCGATGGAGTGCCAGCCTTTAGTAGAACCCAACTATGTAATTTATTACATTTTCAGATTTTTTGTCAAGTTTTGTTGTTTAACAAGTGTCATTTTTATTAAAATAAGCTGCACAAGCTCCCAGGGATGGCGACTGCCAGTACTTTAGAAGTAGAGGGAGAGGAGGAGAAGGAGCTCAAGGTCATCTTTAGCTTCAAAGCCTGTATAAAGCAACCTTTTGGTACGCCAGACTGCCTTAGCAGAGAGTAGTTGGAATTTGTGTTTGTAGTAACTGGGGTTTGAACTCAGGGCCCTTGAGTAAGTTAAGCAAGTGCTCTCTACCTCAGCTATATTCATAACCCCCTTCTTATTTTTTTGATAAAGTCTCTGATTAAGTTACCCAGGTTTGAATTTAAGGTTGAATTGGCCTTGAATTTAAGCTTACTTAGGTAGACCTCCCACTTTAAATTATAATTTCCTAATACCTGGGATTATAGGCTTGAATCCTGACATATTTAAAGTTAGGATTTGTTAGAAGTACTTGACAAAACTTAGTCCCTAGTACTATAACAACAAACAAATTGGCAGATATTAGCAAAATGTGATAACTTTTTTTTTTTTTGGTTTTTCGAGACAGGGTTTCTCTGTGTTTTTTTTTAATGTTTATTTATTTATTATGCATACAATATTTTGTCTGTATGTATGTTTGCAGGCCAGAAGAAGGCACCAGACCTCATTACAGATGATTGTGAGCCACCATGTGGTTGCCGAGAATTGAACTCAGGACCTTTGGAAGAGCAGGCAATGCTCTTAACCACTGAGCCATCTCTCCAGCCCCTTCTCTGTGGTTTTGGAGCCTGTCCTGGAACTAGCTCTTGTAGACCAGGCTGGCCTTGAACTCACAGAGATCCTCCTGCCTCTGCCTCCCTAGTGTATGTACTACCAGTACCCGGTTTAAAACTTAATTTTTGTTGGGTATAATGTCACAAACCTTTAATCTCAGCACTTAGAAGGCAGATGCAAGCTAATTTCTGGGTTCAAGATCAGCCTGGACTACTTAGAGAGATCCTGTCTCAAAAACGAGCACAAAACAAAGTTTTTAAGCTATTATTTAATTAATTATTATTATTATTATTTTTTTTTTTTAGAGATAAGGTTTCTCTGTAGTTTTGGAGCCTGTTCTGGAACTCCCTTCGTAGACCAGGCTGGCCTCGAACTCACAGAGATCCGCCTGCCTCTGCCTCCCGAGTGCTGGGATTAAAGGCGTGCGCCACCACCACCCGGCTTTATTATTTAATTAATTAATTCAAGATGGGGTCTCACTCTATAGCTCTGGCTAGTCAGGAACTGGCTATGTAACACAGACTAGTCTTCCATCTCAGAGATCCACCTGCCTTTGCCTGAGTTTAAAGACATCACGTCCTTTGGCCTTTGTGTATGTGAGTGCAGGCAGGTGTGTGAAGGAAGGTCCAACACTGTAGAGTCCATTTTCTCCTTTCTTTTTGGATCCCTGGTTGGCCTAGAACTTGCTGTGTAGGCTAGATTGGTGCTGTACTCAAGAGATCTACCAGCCCCTTGTCTCCCAAGTGCTGGGATTGAAGTCATGAACCATTGCAGCTGACTTGTATTCTCTCCCCCCACTTTTCTATTTGAGACAGGTTGTGTTTTTAATGTGAAAAGGGGTATCAGATCTTACATCTGGAGTTACAGACAGTTGTGAGCTGACATGGAGGGGGAGGAGGGTGCTGGGAATTGAAGCCAGGTTCTCTGGAAGAGCATTCAGTGCTATTAACCACTGAGCCATCTCTCCAGCCCCAAGACAGGAGTTTTCTTCATAGCTCTGGCTGTCCTGGAATTGACTGTGTAGACCAGGCCGGCCTCACACTTGATGTCTCAGCCTCCTGAGTGCTGAGAGTAAAGCAATGGACTTTTACTTGATTCTGGACTCAAGTCATCAGGCTTTCCTGGAAGTAGATTGTACCCACAGAGCCATCTAGCTCATCCCAAGGACAATAATGTGACACAGTTATATGACTATCTGCCTATATAAGGAAATCCTACTTATTTAAGAGTTGTTGGAAAGTTCTCCTTAGGGATCTCTCCAGCCTTGTAAGATAATTTAGGAGGTGCAAAAGTAGAACCTTAGATATGTTCTAAGAGTGTAAGGGTCTTTTTATTTTTTATTTATTTTTTAAGGATATTGAGAATTAAAGGACTCCAGTTGGGACCAATGCCTGTTTTGAGAGTTCCTTGGCAGATCCACATGTGCCTGACTAATGCTGTAGGGAGGAGTCCTACAGCAGAGTCTTTCACATGTTTTACTTACTGGCTGAAAATTCTGTTGAGCCTTTTTTTCTCCTAGGGGTTGCTGCTGGCATCACAGCCATTCCACAACATCTACTTTAGAGTCTCTCTCTCTCGCCTAGGAATCTTAATTTGTCTAGCTTTATATTCTATTTACATGTGTTGGCTCCAGATGACGTCAAACTGTTGGTTAAAATGATCCTTCTTCAAATAACTAAGATTGGTAATGGTTCAAGACTGAAAAGGAACTTACAGGTTGAGGAAGAACAATAGATGAAATATGTGTAACATTGAAGATAGCTGTTCTCAGATATGTAGATTTGTTGTATCACATGTATTTTCAAGACCACTTAAAGCCAAGCATGGTGGTGTATGCCTGTAATCCTAGCTCTCAGGAGGCTGAAGCAGGAGAATCATGAGTTTAAGAATAACCTAGTCTATATAATGATTCCTTGTCTCAAAAAATACCAAAACAGCAAAAAGAAACCTTCCAGGACTAGAGACATGGCTCAGCAATTATGAGCACTTGTTGCTTTTGCGAAGCATCCAGGTGCTGCTGTTCCTATTCCCCACATGGTGTCTCACATTCACTCTCCTGTCCTGACCTCTATGTGCTTAATGTACATGCAGGCAAAGTACTCATACATAAAAACAAATCTCTTTTATTTTGTAAATTATTTTTAATTTGTTATGAGATAGGTCTCAAGTAGCCCTGGTTGGCCTAGAACCCATGATGTAAATAGATTAAGCTGGCCTCAAACTCATAGCCATCATTCTGCCTCTGACTCCCAAGTGTTGGAATTACATGTACCATCCTAAGAAGTTGGGGAACTACCATACAGCCTTTCTAGTCTGTATCTTCATTGCTTCTTAGCCAATATCATGGTGCATTTTTTTCAGTGGTTTAATATTTGAATGCAAAGATGTGGTATTACATAGTCTTTTGACATTAAACCTCAAGAGTGGTGATATATTTTTTCATGCACCTGATCTTTTTTTTTTTCCGAGACAGGGTTTCTCTGTAGCTTTTGGTTCCTTTCCTGGAACTAGCTCTTGTAGACCAGGCTGGCCTCGAACTCACAGAGATCCGCCTGCCTCTGCCTCCCGGGTGCAGGGATTAAAGGCGTGTGCCACCACTGCCCGGCTTATGCACCTAATCTTTATTGTTGGAATAAATTTAAAATTTTTGGGATGTAAATTCTGTTCCCTTTTGATGGTGTTATGGACCTTAATATGAAATTGTTTCTTAGGGAATAATAACAGTTTTATGTTATGCTGCCTCCCATAGGAGTCTTAAAAGTATTGTATCAGCTTATTTTATTGAGCTAGTTAAATTATGAGATGGATTTCCTCTTTGTTGTACTTTATATACCAGATTCTTTGAAAACTTTTTGTTGCTTGTAAAGATTTACTTTTATTTTGTGTATGAATGATTTTGCCTGCACGTATGTATGTATTCCATGTGCATACCTTGTACCCATGGAGGTCTAAGGGGGTCAGATTCCCTAGATCTGGAGTTGTAGACAGTTGTGGGCTTTCTTGTGGGTATTGGGAACTGAACCTGGGTCCTCTACAAGAGCAGCAAGTGCTCTTAACTGCTTAACTTCTGGGCCATCCCTCTAGCCCTTTTTGTTGTTTTCAGAGATAGTCTCACCTCAGACTCATAATCCTACTTCAACCTGGGACTATGGGTGTACGCCACCACCTTTGAAAGCTCGCAGAGTATTTCACTTAGGGCTTTCTCTTTTCCTCCCTTTCTCTCTTTATTTCCTCGGTGCTTTTTTGTTTGTTTTT